GAGACACAGAGGAAAAACTGATGATTGCTAGATGGGATGGGGGTGGGAATGAGGGAGAAGGGGAAGGGACGAGACAACATAAATTGGTAACTACAATATTGCCTCAGGGATAGAAAAGACAGTTTGGGGAATATAATCAACAATGTTGTAAATTTTTTTTAGGGGGCCAGATGGTCTCATGTCTTGTCAGGGAAACCACTTCATAGATGGTGTAGAGGCCTGACCACTGCACTGTACATCTGAAGCTGCCATTGAATAATATTATATGTGACTATAATTTAATACATATATAATCATGGGATGTGGAGTATAGTGTGGAATGGAGTCAATGGAATTGCAATAGATACGTATGATATCAGAGGTGGGGGGGCAGTAAATGGGGGAGAGGGATGGTCACTTTGTGAGGGGTGAAAAGGATAACTATTGAGTTGTTTTGTACACCTGAAACTAATAAAATTAAAAAAGTCTCAAGGACATTGCCCCTTTTATAATGGTGTCTATATAATTTATTGTCTGAAATAGGGCATTTTAGAGAGTAAAAAGAGGTGTTAAAATTAATGAAATAATTGAAATTTTAAGTATTTATTGACTGAAAAGTTAATTTTATTATATGTGTGGATCTATAAAATACGTTTGCTCAAAATTATTTTTTAAATATAATTTTTTAAAAATAAAAATGCATTTGTGTACATTAAAGCAAACATTTTAAACATCATTGATTAAAATTAGCATAATTTAAATACTTATTCTTAGTACATAGTCACAAATTTTAATCATTTTTTAAACTTTATTAGTCTCTAATATTTTGTCACTGGTGTTTTTCTGAAGGACTTATATTTTTTCAAATAGACTTGTTTTCATTTTTCCAAATAATTTCAATATTCTAAAACGTTTCATTTTATTAATAATTTTGAAACATTTGACATTTTTAATCAACTCCTTTCTGAAGACCATACTACTTTTAATGGATAAAATTTCTATCTACACCATAGAGGATATTCTTAATTTTTATTCTTTTCATATCAAAATTGTATTTTTCCAGGTATTGCATTTTTCCTCTTTTAGAAGACTTTTCTTTAATCAATATTTTTTCACTCAAAATCATAAATTCTCTCTATAATCCTTTTGAGTATTTCACCAAAGTTAAATGTAAATCATAGGCCTTCTCAATTTAATTCCATTCTGGTATAGAATGTAAATATTTCCAATTAAAAGTAGAAGTTTTGTCAAAAGGTTCTTCCAACAAGTCAAGATATCACAAGTTGCACTCACAGAATTTCAGTATTAAGTCTTTTAAACATTGATGTTTCATCATTCAGTTTGTTCATTTTCTCTCTTTCTCTTATAGCAATAATTTTCAATATGTTCTGATTTGCAAATTTTGTCTTCAACAGTGTTGATAGAATCAAACTAGTGGTTGAGAATTCACTAAAGGAGTCAAAAGGAAATTTTCTGGAGTAATGGAATTATTCTATATTTCATTGGGGTAATGGTAATATACAAATGAATGCCTTGTTAAAACTCATCAAAATGTACATTTAAGATTTGTGCATTTCACTACAGGTAAATTTTGCCATGATAAAAAATTCAACCAAACAACAACAACAACAACAAAAAAAAACAAAAGAAAAAACTAAGTGCTTATGTGAAAATATTTTAAAAACAAACTAGAATAAGCTATACTCATATAGCCCAATATTATTTGTATCAATTAAAAATACATGTACACAAAACAACAATATAAGGTTGAACAATTAAGTTCGTGAACTCATCCTAGAAAAAAGTGCTACATACCTCATTGCTGAATGTCACTACAGTCACCTTCGAAGTACTCCCCTTGGGAAGCTATGCACCTACACCAGTGCCTAGTCCACCCTTCAAAGCAATTTTGGAATTCTTTTACTGGAATAGCCATCAGAGCTGTTGTCATAATATCCTTGATGTCCTGAATGGCATCAAGATGTCTTTCTTTCAATATTTCCTTTATCTTCTGGTAAAGAAAGAAGTCATTAGGGGCCAGATCAGGTGAGTAGGGAGGGTGTTCCAATACAGTTATTTGATGATTGGCTAAAAACTCCCTCACAGACAGTGCCGTGTGCAAGAGCCATGAATTGTTGGAGAAAAGTTAAGGTAGTCTAACTTTTTCATACAGCCTTTCAGCACTTCCAAATAGTAAACTTGGTTAACTGTTTGTCCAGTTGGTACCAATTCATAATGAATAATCCCTCTGATATCAAAAAAGGTTAGCAACATTGTTGCAACAAGTTCACGAACTTAATTGTCTGACCTTGTACATGTTTTATAGAACACATGCAGAACAAATAAACCAACACTCAGTAAGGAGTACACAGTGGTTTTTTTGTGGGGGTGGGACATGGGGAGGGAGTGGCATATGGGAGAAAATGCATATAAATGATTAAAATGAGAGTTTTCTTGCATGGACCTTTCAAGTACATTTTACTTTTAGGTACTACCTTCTGTACTGAAGTCAAAATTTTCAAGGAAATATGTTATTAAAATTGTATGGACAGTCTTTTTAAAGGGTATTTTATAAACATATTTAAATTAAGATTTGTCTATTGGTTATTCCAGTCTACTTGAGAGAAAAATTTCATGAAACTTAGACTATAAAAATTCTCAATGTAGTCAAAAGAAACAAAAGATCAATGAAATAACTGAAAATTTTAAAATACACGTGGATGATTTTTTTCGTAAGAAAACGGAATGAGAGAAAACAGGTTGGCAGCAAAGCAATTGAACCCCAATTATCTGTTTTTCACACATATTGAATAAGAGATTCACACCTGCCATTTATAGAAGTGCAATTTTCAGAGAATCCTGAGGGTGAATATCCAACTCCTTTAGGGAAAGTTTTGCAAGTAGGATGTATATTTAAAAATATAGGTTTAACAATATCTGTAAAGTACTTAGAACAGGTTATCATTGTAGTTCATGTATTAAGACAGAATTATGATTCTTCAGGGCAGTGGTCACACCTAAGACTATTCTCAGCTTTGAGTGGTGTTTCAGATACCATCTGAAGAAATCATGGGTTTATTGTTTCCAAATTAGGTAAGATTGTGTATTTTAAACTGTAGAGTCAATTTTACAAGATTATAAACATAACACTGCAAAGTGCCAGCATATTAGCATGTTATTCAAACAATAATAGCACATTTGTAGACTTTTGGCTGAAATATATGGGAAAAACGATGTATTCTGTTTTGTGACACGATCTTTACAGATTTCATAATATTGATTTAGTAGTAGTGTGAGGTATTTATATTTTCATTATTTTTTTAAATGTGTCCTGAAAATGGCAAATATTATTGTGGTATAATTCTAGGTAAGCAAAACTTTAGTGGAATTATTAAGTGATAGGGTCAAAGACTAACCTACTAGTTAGTCAACCTTTACATGCAGCCTCTGCTTATTACTTGAGAATGGGTGTTGGTGACATGCAGGTGATTCACAGGGTCATTAATTTAACTTCTGTGACCAATAACGCTTTCTGAAAATCACACACAGATTTCCCCCTATCTAAATGTATTTAAGTAAACAGATTTGCATAATTTTGTGCATATAATTTTGTTTTAACTTTATAATGTAGGTACTACCATTAAATTCTATTGAGAAATTGGCTACCTCAAATATTTTTGTTTTGTTTAATTTGGAAAATAATTAAAATATATATACATATATATGTATGTATATTGGGTTGTCGGAAAAATCATGACTCATTTTTCCAATAAAAAACAGAAAAATATGTCATTACTTTTCCAGACAACTCAATATCTATATCTATATCTATATATAGAGATTTAGATATAGATATAGATATATTTCCAGACAACCCAATATATATATATATATATATA